TAAAAAATAACAACACAGGTCATTATCTTCAAGACCTTGGGTTAGGCAAAAATTTCTTAGATATGACACCAAAAACATGGCTCATTTTAAAAAATGGAAAAATTAGACCTCAACAAAATCCAACTCTTTTGCACTCTGAAGGACTCATGTTGTCTCATAATGACTATCTTAATGATAAATTGTTCAAGGGGAGCATTCATGGAAGGGGAGCATTCAGGTTGTATATCACAAAATGGAGACAACCTAGCCACCTATTTTATTTAATCAACATAAACAAATGATCAGAATAATTCAGTATATTTTTGTGGCCATAAAAAATATTTTTTGTCTCCTTTTTTCCACCCCGTTTTCATCTATTCCCAAGTCTTATGGCCAGGTCAGAGCAACAAAAGCCTATTTTACCGGATGTTGCTTACTTCAATATACCTAAAGTACAATAATGCTTCTAGATTCCAAATGTACAGATATGACCCAGAGTTAAAAAGCACTGAGCCAGGCTGGAAAATGGAGCATTTTATGGCCCCAGTTCAGTTTATGTTCACTTCAAAAAACCTGCCAAAGTTATAGAAGATTTAAAGTTTTTTCTGTAATTAATAAATTGATCTTCTGTCTGTCCATATCTAATTTCCTTATTTCCAATTTTACCAGGATGATTTATACTGTTAAAAACATCTTTGGAGGATTAATATTTTGGTCATAATTTTTAGGTGAATATAATAATGGGTTATACACATTAATAATTGCCTAATCAGAAATAAAATTTTTATCCCAGAAAAGATGTTTAAGAGAAAATTTAACTACTAGGCACATAATTAATGGTATTAGAGTTTGAAAATTAAATTTCAAGGTTGCTAAAGCATAAATTCAAGAACTTTAGACAATTTTTAAAAGAACAAAACACTAAATAAAAATTAACTTATAATTGTGTTTATAAAATTAGGGGTAATTACACATTACTATTCTACATTTTCATATAAGTTAATATAGTAGAAGAGTATTATTCAGAAAAGTTTTTGTAAAACATTTTTAAAGACAATGAAATAGCAACAAAACAATTTTTAGTTATAATACAAATAAATCTTATTCATTAAAGAAACTAAGTAAAGCACTGGCACACTAATACTGACACACTAATTGCTCTGCTTTACATAGGGGTAAAGTATAACAGCACAATTCTGTGATTCTTATATATGCAAAGCTTCTGTTAACGTTGATGATTTTGCTTTAGAAACACAGAATTACTTTATCATATGCAATTCTATTATTAGTAAGAAGATCTCATAATAACTCTGTTAAACAACTGAGGCCCTACATTCCCATGCTTGAGAATTTTTAATGAAGGGACTTCACTTTTACTAAGGTAATAACTGAATTTTGTTCAAGATTCTCAAATTTTTAATATATCACATTAAAGAGCACCCACTTTATTTTCAATTCCTTGGATGGATGGGATTAAAGAAAATACAGTTGTGCTATAAGAATTTTCTGCCACTCAACTGCCAGTGTAGTTATGCATGAAGAATTCTTATTAAGTCAAAAGAGAACAGAATGCATTTCAAAACAGAATTGACCCCCTGGATTCAATTTTACCAATGGAAAGATTCAAGATTCCAGTCACTATGGACTCTTTTCCCTACTCAAAAAGAGACCCTCTCTACTAATAATCATTAAAATACTCCACATTTTAAGTTTGCAGCATCATGGCCTCATTACAAATTAGGTATTTGGAGAACACTGCATTCCCTTTCAAAGAAAATGTTACATCTGTACAATTCCTCTGTCATGCATTTTTTAAATACTAAGGAAAGAAATTTAACTGTTTTTGCAACCTAGGTTCAGGCAACTGCCCAAGTTGGCTATAGAAACTGATATAAGTATGGGTTTTATGCCTGACGGTAAACCATTCTAAAGATTTTTTTTATCCAAAAAATAATATCATCATCGTGAATTCTACTCTGGAATACAAAGGCAGGAATTACTTTGCATTGTTAAAATGTTAGCAACCACATTTCATTTTTTGAAGAGGCAATTTAGTTTTCCTGAAATAAAGAGTTGATTATATCTCTTATTACTGTTACAAGAATTTGATATATCACCAAGTATAAGAGTTACAGCATGTGCCAAGTATCAACCAGGAAAAATGAACATGATTCATGATTCACTTTAAGAATGTCTAGTTAGTCAATCAAGTGATTTGTAATCATGAAGGCTGCCAGACATTGCATGGATAATCAGCCACAGTAAAATCCCTGGATTTTTTTTAGTATACTTATTTCATTATGTGACTTTTATTGCTATTTTAATCTCTGTTTCTCAGAAGCACAAATTAAATCACATATTTACTTAGAATTTTTTACTATTAAACAGACTAAAGGATATACAAGTTGAATGACCAGAGTATTTAATGTCTGCCTACAAAATTAAAAGTCTCAGTGTTTATAGCTGGAGCAAAGAAAATTGCATTTCTTCCAACCTCCTCAATACTTGCCTCATTTTATCTAAATTATTTAGTGAATATGCTGTTTCAGCATAGCTCATTCTAATTCAGGATAGTTTCTTAAGTTGTTTTACATAGTCTAAAACAAATAAAATCATTTAACAGAATTTAGTTAATATCAGAAGCCTTAAGCTTGCTTTTAATATTATCATTGCATTTCCTCAGTTAAAAGTATAATATAAGCTGGTGGCCAAAGACCATTTTCCCTCTAATTCATATAATCTTATTAAATTACAAATAGAGAAAATGTAAACCAACTTAAAGCTTGGCATATTACTAAAGGGGTAATAGGATAAATTAGTGGTTTTCAAAATGTAAAACTACTAAGCTATGTAAAACTTATTCTGATAATACTGGCCATGATATGCATTTTAATCAGGAGTGTATTACATAAGAATTACACGGTTTTAAAGAAAATGGAACTTTAAATGTGATAACAAATTGGCTCATTTTTACTTACTTTTTATAATTTTCAAGGAGAAGTGTCCTTTTCCAACTTTAGGTTGATTATAACACCAGAGCACATGTGGGCCTCCTTAAGTAAAGTCAGAGTCCTTGAGTCCAGATCTATCATACTCATTATTAAAGTATAGTATCTATGAAAAAGTCAGCTATCTAAATTTAATGGGTAAATTTCCAATAATAAATGTTTGGTTGTTCAAGATAACAAAATTTCAGACATACACTAAACACTGACTCCAGGAAGCTAGTATGATTTTGGTGAGACCTCAGGAAACTGTTTCCACACTGAATGGCCCCTGAAAAGCGTATCAATATTCCACCTTAGAATTCACTTTTTATCATCATTATCATACCAACTATGAGAACCATCTTTTCTAAAAAGGAAGAATTTTCTTATCTTTCCTATCAAGATTAACCAACCATTTGCTTGTCCATTCAATCATTCAGTCATTCAAAAATGCTTATCAAGAATCTACTATGTTCCCCATTGTGCCCTTAAGAAATCTATAGTCTAATTAGAAAGAGACATATAAATAAGTAATAAAATATAGGTTCTAGAATAGAACTATGTATGGGAAATGTTTAAAGAAGGGAAGGTTCAATGGCAGAGGTCAGTAGCCAGGAAAGGATTCAAAAAGATAAAAAAGCTCAGCCTTGAATGAAAAGTTGTTCTTTACCAGGGAGCAAAGAGGAAAAGATAATAATGCTAAGGAGGAAAATATTAATGAAGATTAAAAGTACCAAATAACTAATCATGGTAGTTATTTGGCTACAAGCTATTCAGTCTAACTAAGGTCAACATGTAAGGAGTATATATGATGTTGAGTGGTAAGGGAGGGTTGCTGGAGGTAAGCCTAAAACAGTATGAAAGGGCTCATTCAAAAAAGACCTTGTATGTACACTAAAGAGAACACAATCTATATCTTAAAAACAATAGAAACCATTGAAGGATTTTAAGTTAGAGAACTAATATCACCATTTTAGCCTACCTGTTTATATTCATATGTAACTGATTTCCCAGAACAAGTGTCTCAGCCTCTAGCAAACTTGTGAATTAAACAATTCTACCACCTGAAAAGTGGTATAGACACTAAAGATATCCCAAGTTTTCCAAAGGAATCATCAAGATTCTGCTTAAAGAATTCATACATGGGATATATGCATTTGCATATACACACATTAAGTATACATAATCTACTGACAGACTGTCAAAAAGTTAGGCCCACGTAAAGTCGCAAAAGCAAATGTTTTGGCCAGACACACTTTGGTATGCCTCAGTCACCAATATAAAATCACTGTGAACTAGCCTGACTTTCAAAAGTGAAGCAGTTCAGTCCTGAATTGCATACATAAAAGCTTCATGCATCTTAACACAGAACTTCTAAATAGGAAGTTTGAGCAGAAGCTCTGAGGTCAGAGAGTCCACACTTGGAATCCTGGGTGAGCCACTAACCTTTTGCAAATTATTGAACTTTTTGAGTCACAGTTTCCTTATCTATAAACCTTATAAATATTCATATAACTGTTGTGAAAATACAATGGGATATATAAAGCACCTAAGCATAGAACTGAGCAAATATTAATTATTCAATAAATAGTATTTCATTATTATAACTATACTAGAAATTATTCCAACTATGATAAAATAAAGTTTATACACTAAATAATTCTGTTAGACTTGCATTATTGAAGAAATTTCCAAAGTCTAGTCCAACTGAAAATGTTTGAGGTAGGCCAAATGTGAAATTAATAATAATCATACTGAGACAAATCAGATAAAATAATGTATTCAAGAAACAAAATTTTGAAAAATGCATCAAGTTACACTGAATAATTACTTATAGAGCATGGGAAGAAAGAGTCCAATCTTAATACAGAAATACTCAGAGCCTTTTTTCTTTTTTTGAGGAAAAGAAAATTATACAATAAAACCCTTTTTCAAACTGTAGTGCCATGTTATTCCCTTTTTTATATTTCATGGCCTCTTACAAAAACACAGGACAGATAGTAAGGCTGGTTATAATCACGTAACATCACATACCTGTAGTGTAAGGATCCTCTCCCTACAGGCAGGCCTTCCAACTGACTTCAGTGAGCAACAGTCCTACCAGTCTGTGACCTTGAGATTTGTTTATACCCTGAAAGAAGAAAAACAAAAACATAATAACAATAACAACAACAAAAAAGTCAGAATACTAGAAAGCCAGACTATAAAAGAACATTTACTTTGACAGCTTGACAATGGAAATGATTCAATTGAAAACAACTAGAAAAAAAAGAATCAAAGCAGTATTAGCAACTGTATTGAGCAACTGTATTGAGTTACTGATCTAGATGCCCATGTGTATACACATATACTCATGTATATGCATATGTCGTGGCCAGATAAGATTGGGTCAAATCACAAATGTAATTAGTACAGTAAAATGAAGCTACAATTATTAAATATATATTAAATGATATTGGCCTGAACTACAGATTACTAAGCAGATACACTACCAACTCAGTATTAAACCTGTGTAGTCACCCACTATATGTCTGGGATAGCAAGCATTAACGATGGCTACCACTTGAAAGGCCAAAATGGAAGAGAATCTTAACATTGATAATGCAGTTATCCTGAACTTTCCTGAAATCAGTAATATTTTTTAAAATAAGTAAAGAACAGGTAATTCTGTTCTAGCCAATATTCATTCAAATAAAAGTCATGAATTATAAGTTAGCCAGCATGTGTTATACGGAAATAAGAATGGAGGTGAGAGGAGTTAAACTACTTTTAGATATATTCATGAACACCACATTATGACTTCCATTCTTTTTCACTGTTAGGTTGATTTCTGTGTGATCCTTTATATTCAAGTAATGAAGCATTACGGTTCAACATTCCAATCATGTCTCATAAAGCAAAATTTAAACTAAACTGTCATTTGACAACACTGAGAACATAAAATAATACTAACATGACCTTTCCTGTATGAAGATGACACTGACTCACCATCAGCAGAGATGAGTTTCAAGTGTTTTTCCACATGGAAGTGGACTTGCTGATCTAGCCAATTCTCTTGCCAAAGTTCCCTGGTGAACAACAGCTTATATCTGCAGGATGAGTGTTACCAGTAGTCACAGAAAACAGCTGAATAAAATAATCAATATAGAAATTTAACTTATGCCTTGGTCCCAAACCACTATGTTCTGATGAACTAAAAATAAAGTCACAGAAATATATAAATACTATATAATACTTACATACAAAATTGCACATGCATTTACTCAGACACATTCATTGTATTCTATATATACTGACCTAAAAGTACAGACAATCAGAGACTGACCTCTATCCCTAAGTAAAAATGTTCTCAGCTGTCTTAACTAAAACAGAGATTGCTTCTGACATGTAAAATCAGAAGTGTATAATGAAAATGCTCAAAACATGAATGCATGCCAACTTTGCATTCCTCATCACAAGTAGCAATAACTGAGGAAATTACAGAATATTTTTGTTAATGTTAGCAATCTTCTCAATAGCATTAAATGTAATATGACTACAGAAAAAAACTCCTTTTTACATTTCCCAGATTCTGAAAAATATATCGACTTTTTATGAAGAAAAATAGTTTCATTACTAGCTACAGTGTTCATTCATGTTAATACATACAAAGGTTTTGTAATTAAATATTCCTGATATGAAATTTTAGCAGTTGCCAGTTAAATCTCCGTAAGAGTTGAGGAGCAGATTAAACATCACTCAAAGACATAGTTTTTAAGTATAAGTAAAATTAATGTTCTGAGCTTCTTTATTATTTAAAGAAATAAAATTTGATTAACATGTGTTGAAAACCAATAAGAAGCAGTTAACAACTAGACACAACTTAGACAAACTCACAATGCCAAGTACCTGTGATGAGCAAGGCACTCACTATATGGGGGGCCTGTGAACAGGTAGTACACAGTCTCAAAGAAATCACACTATCAATATTATTGAAACATTCCACTTTCAGTTCTACATATTTGTTTAACAAACAGCTAAATTCTAACCCAGATCCTCTGCCAGAACAGGAAGGGTGAGGGGGAAAAGCATAGCATCATACCACATCGTGCTCGCTACCACAAGGATGAGGTTCTGGGGCACCTCTTGCAAGTGGTGATAAGGAAATTTCAATAGAAATGTTGAGAACATCGGCTACAACCTGTGGTGTAGGTCCACTGCCACCTGAAAACAACAACAAAAAAACACCTTTGTTAATTTTAAGGCACTATACAAATGTTTCCAGTCACAATTCCATTTTAATGAGTCATTCTCTTCAAAAACTCTTTACTACACTCCTTACCATCACCCCATACCAATTTAACAAAATCTGGAGTCCTGCACTAGACTGCAAACTCCTAAAGTTCCTCTTCATTTTGGTTTCCTATTTCCACAATGCCCAGCTAAGCACCTTACAAACTGTAAATGCTTAATAAATGTTTGATAAATTGAATTTAACTAGTCATCTTATTCCCTCACCTGTTACTTTGCTCCCCCACAAATTATCACTTATTCTGGCTATAACCACCATTCCTGATGAAAAGACAGGACTATTATTCGTCTGCAAACGTTTTGCTTGGACACCTACTGGGTACCATGTTAAGTACAATGAATACTAGTGCAAGTAACACATGATTCCTGACCTTAAATAACTCAGTCTAGTAAGAAAGATAAAGATGGAAATTAGCCATTATAACAGTTTATAAGAAGTTTTGTAAAAAGTGCTACCAATACTAAAAGGAAGTGAAACTGGCTTAGAATAAAAGCTCTAGAGAGGAAATGTCATGTGAGATGAGCAGTAAAGAACCAGTGGCTGCTGGACAAATACAGAAAGGGCATTCTTAGTGGAGAGAAGAGGGGGGGAAATTATAGAGCTGCAAAAGGGTACACGAGATTCTGAGAACTTCAAGAAACTTTTGGGAAACCAGCAGATGAGAAGAAAAAGGCATAAGAAATATCACAGAAATGTCTTTTTATGCTAAAAAGCTGGACCCCTTTCCTAACTAAAGGAGGTAAGCCAGGAGAATGACCTGATAATTGAAAAGATCTTCATAGCAGTGGGGAAGACGGGAGGAAGGACAAGACTGACAGCAAGGACCAAATCGCATGAGGCAAAGCTGGTTTGACCTAATGGCTTATGTAATTATGATGACCCAATTCATCACTAATGACCATTAGGTCTGTTACCCAATGTATCTCAAACTTAGATATATATTTAGAGAACATATAGACTCTAAAGTGTTTTAGAAAACTGTTTATGCAAAACAATCTCAATAAAAAATCATGGCAGGAATTGCATAGGAATTACATCAAGATGCCAAAATATTAATAATGACTAGCTCTGGGTAATGGGGTAACAGGTCATGTTTTTCTTCTTGTTACTGATATATTTCAACTTTTTTACATGATATTTTTTTAAATATCCTAGAGCAATTCCTTGAAACTTAGCTAAACCTGGCATTAACCCTAAAGCGCCAGGGCCAGGATTCCTTGATAGCATAATTGGCCCCGAAGCCTTCATGTAGAACCACAACCCATTATCTTATCCATAAAATACTCATTGCTACATCAGGACCTACACTCATGTCCTTTTTGCTTCTGCAACATCCTCTTGCCCTGAATGCCTACCTGTATCCCAACTTCTTCATACCACCAGCGATACCAATTTTGTATATGCAATGCCAATAGCTCATGATTTCCCTCACACAGTATGATATCCAATCATCTTTTATTGAAGGCCTTCTTGAATAGTTCTCCATTTTTGTTCTTCCTACAATTTTTATAAGAATACTAGAACAAAATCAGTCCTATTGTAAAATAAATAAGCAGACATGAGTCAGTTATAGATATATGTGCATATAATTATACTGATGATTTGATGAACTGCAAAATTATGTAAGTAACCACTACTAAAGTGTTTCCAAATGGATTACCTTAGGGGAAAAGTGCCTAAGGTAATGGATGGGTTGAATTGTGTCCCCAAAAAAGATGTTGAAATCCTAACACTGTGAATGTGACCTTATTTAGAAATAGGGTCTTTGCAAATGGTCAAGATAAGATGAGGTCATTAGGATGAGCTCTAATCCATTATGACCGGTATCCTTAAAAACAGGGGAAATTTGAACACAGCAACAGATACACACAGAGAGGGCACCACATGAAGATGAAGGCAGGGGTCAGGGTGATACATCTACAAGCCAGGACCACCAAAGATCGCCAGCAAATCACCACAAGCTAGGAGAGAGGCATGAAATAAATCCTCACCTTCACAACCCTCAAAAGGAATCAACCTTGCCAACACCTTGATTTTTGTACTACCAGACAATAAATTTCTGTTGCTCAAGCTACCCCAATTGTGTTATTGTTACAGCAGCCCTAGCAAAATAATATACCAACTAAGGGAAACCATGATTTTTTTCCCCTGAAAGCCACTAAAGATAAAAACATTTGGAAGAAAGATTGCAAATCAGAAATAATAAAATTTCTTGTTGTTAATTTTTCAGTCTGGTAACAAAAGTGTTATCTAATAACTAAGCCAACCTAGTGCCAAAAAACCCTCTCATAAAGATCGTGTCTTTTGCACATACAGCACCACATAATCAAAACCTGGAGAATGTTATCATCCTATACATACTGGAACATGAGAATAACATGAAATTATGTAGATGTTCCTTTGTTTTGTAAGAGTATTGCTCTATGAATTTGTATGTACCTGTGAGAACACAATTTGACCTATGATGAAATCATAAGGTAGTGTAATATGTTACTTGATAAGGAGAAATGAAATCATCATAGGTCAGGAATGGGCTCTGGAGTGACACACTTCGGTTCAAATCCTTGCTCTCTTACTCATCAGTTCTGTGACTTAAGCAAAAAACTTAACAGTGTTTGAGCCTCAAATTCTTCATCAGTAAAACGGAAATTTTACATGAATAAATTAAATAATATGAGATGTGCTTAACATACAATGATGGTAATAGGGTTTTAATAGTTACATAAAAAGTAATGTTCACCCAAAAAAGAAAGAGCCTGGCTGGTGTGGCCCAGTGGTTAGAGTGTCAGTCTTCAGGCCAAAAGGTCTCAGGTTCGATTCCCAGTCAAGGGCATATACCTGGGTTGCAGGTTCAATCCCCGGACCATGGTCAAAGCGTGGGGGAGGCAACCAATCGCTGTGTCTCTCTTACAACAATCTCCCTCTCTGTCTCTCTCTCTTCGCCCTCCTCTCTCTCTCCTCCCCTCCCTCCCTCTATTCTTGGGTGAGGATTAACAGGAAGGAAGGAAGGAAGGAAGGAAGGAAGGAAGGAAGGAAGGAAGGAAGGAAGGAAGGAAGGAAGGAAGGGAGGGAGGGAGG